AGGAGCCCACAGGAGACTCAAGCAGCAGTAGTGCAATGGGAGGGTCTCTTGAATCTACTATTTCTATACCCCACAGCTTTCTCAGGCATACCAGGCCTCTGACTGCAGCCAGCCTGACAAGCAGCAGACAGACCGCTAGCCACAGAGACAGAGCGCATCCTACTGTAGCCTGGTGGTCTGGAATAGCTCCACACTCCTGTGGTCACACACACACACATTCCAAATCACTTCGTTCCGCTCCCTTCATCCTCGCCGCAACCAGACCACACGCACGCAGGCAAACACACAAACCTTTTCCTCCCTTTACTGTAAGCTGCAAGAAGCCCTATGCCATTGTTGGTCATGGTCATAATTCCTTGTGTGTTTGTCCGTCTCTCCAACCCACACCGTGCCCCATCTGGGCCCAGATATGTGGGATAGGAGGAAAACAATAACACTGCTAAGTTTAGCGCTAGCCTCCTCCCTTCCACTTGACTGTGTTTACTGTCCCTCTCAGCTAGCTCCTAGTTAGCACTAATGACAGGACTGTGGTTCAGGACCACAGAGAGATGGGGGAGAGGGAAAGGGAACTGGAGATCGGATCTGGGATGAGGGGGGAAGGGTAAACAAGTTTATCCACTTTTTGTTGTTGGATATACTGTGCATTTAATTATAATTTAAACCAATTAAAACACACATTTAAATAAGTAAGTATATAGAGTGCCTTCGGAAAGTATTCAGACCCGTTGACTTTTTCCACGTTTTCTTACGTTACAGCCTTATTCTAAAATGTATTAAATAAATACAAATCCTCAGCAAACTACACACAATACCCCATAATAACAAAGTGAAAACTGGTTTTTAGAAATGTTTGCAAAAAAATAAAAACAGAAATACCTTATTTACATCAGTATTCAGACCGTTTGCTATGAGACTCGAAATTGAGCTCAGGTGCATCCTGTTTCCATTGATCATCCTTGAGATGTTTCTACAACTTGATTGGAGTCCACTTGTGGTCAATTCAATTGATTGCACATGATCTGGAAAGGCACACACCTGTCTACAGTGAAGGAAAAAAGTATTTGACCCCCTGCTGATTTTGTACGTTTGCCCACTGACAAAGAAATGATCAGTCTATAATTGTAATAGTAGGTTTATTTGAACAGTGAGAGAGAATAACAACAACAAAAATCCAGAAAAACGCATGTCAAAAATGTTATAAATTGATTTGCATTTTAATGAGGGAAATAAGTATTTGACCCCCTCTCAATCAGAAAAATGTCCTTGATTGGCCCAGCCAGAGGTCGGACTTGAACCTGATCAAACATCTCTGGAGAGACCTGAAAATAGCTGTGCAGCAACGCTCCCCATCCAACCTGACAGAGCGTGAGAGGATCTGCAGAGAAGAATGCGAGTGTCTCCAAATACAGGTGTGTCAAGCTTGTAGCATCATACCCAAGAAGACTCAATGCTGTAATCACTACCAAAGGTGCTTCAACAAAGTACTGAGTAAAGGGTTTTATGTAAATGTGTTATTTAACTCAAAAACTTTTTTTACATTTGCAAACATTTCTAAACCTGTTTTGGATTCGTCATTATGGGGTATTGTGTGTAGATTGATGATGGGGGGGACAATGTAATCAATTTTAGAATAAGTCTGTAACGTAACAAAATGTGGAAAAAGTCAAGTGGTCTGAATACTTTCCGAATGCACTGTAAAAGTACACTAAGCATAAGGACAGACTAAGCAGGGAGAACACTAAAAATGATGACAGACTAACCAGGGAAGTGAACTAGATGGGTAAAAGCTAAAACAACAGAGAATCCGGATAAGCCTGTGTGAAGAGGTGTGTCTTTAATGTGGACTTGAATATGTGTTTTTATTGTGAGGTTCTGACATGGACAGGGAGGGAGTTTTAGAGTTGGGGGGCTGCACTGCTAAAATCATATGGGTTGTTTTATTAGCTAAACCTTCCATTGTACACACAAACAATTTATTTATTCAGTAAGCAATTCCACTTTACATGGATATGTGGCCAAAAAATTACAATAATCTCATGTAATAATCCTATGCTTTCTCCCCTCTCTCTCCAGATGAAATCTTGCGATTTATGACGGCCGGCCGCCCAACAACCTGCCCGCTTGACCCTATCCCCTCCTCTCTTCTCCAGACCATTTCTGGAGACCTTCTCCCTTACCTCACCATGCTCATCAACTCATCCTTGACCGCTGGCCATGTCCCTTCCGTCTTCAAGAGAGCGAGAATTGCACCCCTCCTCAAAAAACCTACACTCGATCCCTCCGATGTCAACAACTACAGACCAGTATCCCTTCTTTCTTTTCTCTCCAAAGCACTCTTGAGCGTGCCGTCTCTAGCCAACTCTCCTGCTATCTCTCTCAGAATGACCTTCTTGATCTAAACCAGTCAGGTTTCAAGACTGGTCATTTAACTGAGACTGCTCTTCTCTGTGTCACGGAGGCTCTCCGCACTGCTAAAGCTAACTCTCTCTCCTCTGCTCTTATCCTTCTAGACCTATCCGCTGCCTTTGATACTGTGAACCATCAGACCCTCCTCTCCATCCTCTCCGAGTTGGGCATCTCCGGCTCTGCTCACTCTTGGATTGTGTCCTACCTGACAGGTCGCTCCTACCAGGTGGCGTGGCGAGAATCTGTCTCCGCACCACGTGCTCTCACCACTGGTGTCCCCCAGGGCTCAGTTCTAGGCCCTCTCCTATTCTCTCTATACACCAAGTCGCTTGGCTCTGTCATATCCTCACATGGTCTCTCCTATCATTGCTATGCAGACAACACACAATTAATTTTCTCCTTTCCCCATTCTGATAACCAAGTGGCGAATCGCATCTCTGCATGTCTGGCAGACATATCAGTGTGGATGTCGGATCACCACCTCAAGCTGAACCTCGGCAAGACGGAGCTGCTCTTCCTCCCGGGGACTGCCCGCTCCATGATCTCGCCATCACGGTTGACAACTCAATTGTGTCCTCCTCCCAGAGTGCAAAGAACCTTGGCGTGACCCTGGACAACACCCTGTCGTTCTCCGCTAACATCAAAGCGGTGACCCGATCCTGCAGGTTCATGCTCTACAACATTCGCAGAGTACGACCCTACCTTACACAGAAAGCGGCACAGGTCCTAATCCAAGCAGTTGTCATCTCCCGTCTGGATTACTGCAACTCGCTGTTGGCTGGGCTCCCTGCCTGTGCCATTAAACCCCTACAACTTATCCAGAACGCTGCACCCCGTCTGGTGCTCAACCTTCCCAAGTTCTCTCATGTCACCCCGCTCCTCCGCACACTCCACTGGCTTCCAGTTGAGGCTTGCATCTACTACAAGACCATGGTGCTTGACTACGGAGCTGTGAGGGGAACGGCACCTCCTTACCTTCAGGCTCTGATCAGACCCTACACCCAAACGAGGGCACTACGTTCATCCACCTCTGGCCTGCTAGCTCCCCTACCTCTACGGAAGCACAGTTCCCGCTCAGCCCAGTCAAAGCTATTCGCTGCTCTGGCACCCCAATGGTGGAACAAGCTCCTCCACGACGCCAGGACAGCGGAGTCACTGACCACCTTTCGGAGACACTTGAAACCCCCACGACGCCAGGACAGCTGAGTCACTGACCACCTTCCGGAGACACTTGAAACCCTACCTCTTTATGGAATACCTGGAATAGTATAAAGTAATCCTTCTACCCCCCCATCCCCCCTTCCCCCACACAAAAAAATAAAAAAGTGGTTGTCCTACTGGCTATCATAAGTTGAATGCACCAATTTGTAAGTCGCTCTGGATAAGAGCGTCTGCTAAATGATGTAAATGTAAATGTAATGTATCAAGTGGATTTTTTAAATCCTGATAATGAATTGATCATATCTGATGATCTAATATCAAATTACATAAAGGTTATGTTTGAGTTAAGTGCAGTATAGATGAACATGTACACTACTTTATTTCATCATGTCATACTGTTGTTTGTGCTCCAGTTTACCCTAATTACTAAAGACAGACATAACAATTAGGTTGACTGGCATAACGTGTGCACCACATTTGTCCAGTGGGTATTTATAGCAGGCAGTGTGGTGTGGTCATTGTTACAAGGCCCTATTAAGTACATTTTCATTCACTAGTTAATTGCCTGCTGGCCTCTCTCTCCTTCACTATCTCCCTCTCTCTCCCCCCTCTTTACCTCTCTCTCTCTCTGACCCCCCTCTCTCCCTCTGGCCTTGCCTGCTACCCTCTCTCTCCATCTCCCTCTCTCGCTCTCTCTCTCCCTCCCTCTCTCCTTGACCTTGTTGTTATTGGTCTGGAGGGATCGATGGGACAGCTACAGTAGCAACAGATGGCCTGCTCTAGTTTCACTAAAACATATTGACCTAATGTAGATCAAAGATTACAGTTGCCATTGACTTCCAATACAGTCATCGCCGACTACGCCAACTGTTAAACAGCGTATACAACCAAGGGATAACTTAGTGTTTGGTTATGACATTATAGTTGTATGTGATAGCTTTTGTTACCAGAATTTCTAATAAAATTTGCTTTGCAAAACTTGGGATATAGACCAAAAATGATCAAAACAATCAAATTCTCCTTTTACAAACTCTAGCTACTGTAGAAATTGAACAAATATCCATCTTAGTTAGCCTAGTAGTATGGACTATGCTAGGGTCAGGAGTTTTTCTTGACCATATAACTGGAACAGAATAACACGGACCCGAAAAAATTGTGAATTCCAGAAAAACTGCTTTAATTAGTTTAATTGAATAGGAGCCCATTAGTGTTATGGCATGTTATAGGGCATTTCATGTCAAAATAATGTTTATTTTGTATGAAACATGGAGGGAGGGTGGTTGCTCAATGTAGGGTTTGTATTTGTTATTTTACCTTAACTTTGCTACTATGTTAAATTAAATAAACCATTATAAATCGAGAAAAAAAAGGCATGTCATATCAAGATTTAGCATGGCTAAATTTGGTTTGGCCTGGCCTAGATTGTCTTACCGTTCGCCAGTGTAGCCAGGGCTGCAAAAACACTGTCCGCTGGAGGAGAAACAAGTCCCCCCATTGAGACACTGGCACTCCTGGGAACATTTCCTGCCGAAGCGCCCCTCCAGACACGGCTGGCCACACACTGTACCCTAAACACACACAGAACACATATGTGTCAGTAAAATATCAAAATCACATAGTCAATACAATCCCAGCAAACAGGGGACATCCTAAAGACATTGGGCAACGTTCCCATTATGTCCCTTTAACCTTTTCACGTGTGAGTTCCAAATATCCCCAGCGTGAGATTTTTTATGCGTGTGACATCAGAATGTGCTCACTGTTCCAAATGTTAATGTTACGAAACAGGACAGTTAACACGCACTGCCCTCAAACCAAGGCACGCTGCCTGCTAATTATCTATAAGCTATGTTTCAATTTATCAATTTCAAATGATTTTCAAACAGTTTTATTTTCAAACAACAATTTATAATTAGGTGCGTACTGCCTCCTCATTACTTCATATAGAAGTAGCCCATTTCACTGCGGCAGACAATTTACGTTTGAGTCATACTACGCTAATTCAGACCCCTTCACTTTTACCACATTTTGTTTCGTTACAGCCTTATTCTACAATTGATTAAATAATTTAAAATCCTCAGCAAGTGGAAGGGGGAAAAAGTAAGGAACTTGTCTGTCGGCCTTGCATTAAAGAACATAATTGGTTAAAGAAAACTGTAAAAAAATATAAAAGTATACCAGTTTCACTTAAGGAAGAAGATCCTGGCGCAGACGAAGATGGCGGCCTCGCGACTAGCTCTTAGGAAACTTTGCAGTATTTTGTTTTTTTTAATGTATTATTTTTTACATTATTAGCTTAGAAAATGTTTTACATCATTACATACAGCCGGGAAAAACTATTGGATATCAGAGCGGCGGTAACTCACCAGCATTACGACCAGGAATACGACTTTCCCGAAGCAGATCTTTTGTTTGCTCTTCCCAGGGCAACTGAACTGATTCCAGCGGCTGACCCAAAAAATCGCCGGCGGAGGAGAGGCACTCGGAGCGGCCTGCTGGTCCGACTTAGGAGGCGCACACACCACCCACCGCTTCCAAGTATTCTTCTCGCTAATGTTCAGTCTTTGGTTAACAAAGTCGACGAACTACGGGCAAGGATTTCTTTCCAGAGAGACATCAAGGCCTGTAACATACTCTGTTTCACGGAAACATGGCTCTCTTGGAATATTCTGTCGAAATCGGTCCAGCCATATGGGTTCTCAGTTCATCGCGCAGACAGGAATAAATATCTCTCTGGGAAGCAGAAGGGCGGAGGTGTGTGTTTCATGATTAATGACTCGTGATGTAATTGTAGTAACATAGAGGAACTCGAGTCCTTCTGTTCACCCGACCTAGAATATCTCACAATCAAATGCCGACCGTATTATCTCCCAAGATAATTTTCTTCGGTTATAGTCACGGCCGTGTATATCCCCCCTCAAGCCGATACCACGACGGCCATCAAATAACTTCACTGGACCTTATGCAAACTGAAAATCACATATCCTGAGGCTGCATTTATTGTACCCGGGGATTTTAACAAAACTAATTTGAGGACTAGGCTGCCGAAGTTCTATCAACATATCGACTGTTGTACTTGCGCTGCTAAAATCCTCGACCATTGCTATTCAAACTTCCGGGACGGTTATAAGGCCCTCCCCCGCCCTCCTTTCTGCAAATCTGACCACAACTCCATTATGCTTCTCCCTTCCTATAGGCAGAAACTCAAAAAGGAAGTACCCGTGCTAAGGACTATTCAATGCTGATCTGACCAATCAGAATCCACGCTTCAAGATTGTTTTGATCACGTGGACTGGGATATGTTCCGGGTAGCTTCCGAAAATAATTTAGACATATACACTGAAACGGTGACTGAGTTTATCAGGAAGTGTATAGGTGATGTTGTGCCCACTGTGACTATTAAAATCTACCCTAACCAGAAACCGTGGATAGACGGCAGCATTTGCGCAAATCTGAATGCGCGAACCACCGCATTCAACCATGGCAAGGTGACTGGGAATATGGCCACCATTGTTCTTGTAACCAAGAAAGCAAAGGTAACTGAACTAAATGACTATCGCCCCGTAGCACTCAAATATGTCATCATGAAGTGCTTTGAGAGACTAGTCAAGGATCATATCACCTCTACCTTACCTGTCACCCTAGACCCACTTCAATTTGCTTACCGCCCCAATAGATACACAGACGATGCAATCGCCATCACACTGCCCTATCCCATCTGGACAAGAGGAATACCTATGTAAGAATGCTGTTCATTGACTATAGCTCAGCATTCAACACCATAGTACCCTCCAAGCTCATCATTAAGCTCGTGGCTCTGGGTCTGAACCCCGCCCTGTGCAACTGGGTCCTGGACTTCCTGAGGGCCGCCCCCAGGTGGTGAAGGTAGGAAACAACATCTCCACTTCGCTGATCCTCAACACTGGGGCCCCACAAGGTTCGTGCTCCCCCCTCCTGTACTCTGTCACCATGACTGGTGGCCAAGCCGCCTACAACTCAACATCAAGTTGCAGACGACACAACAGTAGTGCTTGATACCACAATGATGAGCGCCTACAGAGGAGTGGGCCTCAGTGTGTGCAGGAAAAACCTCTCACTCAACTCAACAACAAAGGGATGTCTGGCTTAGGAAACAGCAGGGGTGCACCCCATCCAATCGACAGGACGAGTGGAGAAGGTGAAAGCTTCAAGTTCCTTGGCTTACCCTCACCGACAAACTGAATGTCCACCCACGAACAGGTGGTAAGAAGGCGCAAAGAGCCTCTCAACTCGGGGACTGAGAAATTGGCATCACCTAAAACCCTAAAACTTTTACAGATGCACAATTGAGAGCATCCTGTCGGGCTGTATCCCACAACCGCAGGGCTCGCCAGAGGGTGGTGCAGTCTGCCGAACGCATTACCAGGGGCAAACTACCCGCCCTCCAAGACACATACAGCACCCGATGTCACAGGAAGGCCAAAAAGATCATCAAGGACATCAACCACCCGAGCCACTGCCTGTTCACCCCGCTATCATCCAGAAGGCGAGGTCAGTACAGGTGCATCAAAGCTGGGACCGAGAGAATGAAAAAAAGCTTCTATCTCAAGGCCATCAGACTGTTATATAGCCATCACTAGCCGGCTACCACCCGGTTTCTCAACCCTGCACCTTAAAGGCTGCTGCCCTATATACAGTGGGGAGAACAAGTATTTGATACACTGCCGATTTTGCAGGTTTTCCTACTTACAAAGCATGTAGAGGTCTGTAATTTTTATCATAGTTACACTTCAACTGTGAGAGACGGAATCTAAAACAAAAATCCAGAAAATCACATTGTATGATTTTTAAGTAATTAATTTGCATTTTATTGCATGACATACAGTGGGGGAAAAAAAGTATTTAGTCAGCCACCAATTGTGCAAGTTCTCCCACTTAAAAAGATGAGAGAGGCCTGAAATTTTCATCATAGGTAGACGTCAACTATGACAGACAAATTGAGATTTTTTTTCTCCAGAAAATCACATTGTAGGATTTTTTATGAATTTATTTGCAAATTGTGGTGGAAAATAAGTATTTGGTCACCTACAAACAAGCAAGATTTCTGGCTCTCACAGACCTGTAACTTCTTCTTTAAGAGGCTCCTCTGTCCTCCACTCGTTACCTGTATTAATGGCACCTGTTTGAACTTGTTATCAGTATAAAATACACCTGTCCACAACCTCAAACAGTCACACTCCAAACTCCACTATGGCCAAGACCAAAGAGCTGTCAAAGGACACCAGAAACAAAATTGTAGACCTGCACCAGGCTGGGAAGACTGAATCTGCAATAGGTAAGCAGCTTGGTTTGAAGAAATCAACTGTGGGAGCAATTATTAGGAAATGGAAGACATACAAGACCACTGATAATCTCCCTCGATCTGGGGCTCCACGCAAGATCTCACCCCGTGGGGTCAAAATGATCACAAGAACGGTGAGCAAAAATCCCAGAACCACACAGGGGGACCTAGTGAATGACCTGCAGAGAGCTGGGACCAAAGTAACAAAGCCTACCATCAGTAACAAACTACGCCGCCAGGGACTCAAATCCTGCAGTGCCAGACGTGTCCCCCTGCTTAAACCAGTACATGTCCAGGCCCGTCTGAAGTTTGCTAGAGTGCATTTGGATGATCCAGAAGAGGATTGGGAGAATGGCATATGGTCAGATGAAACCAAAATATAACTTTTTGGTAAAAACTCAACTCGTCGTGTTTGGAGGACAAAGAATGCTGAGTTGCATCCAAAGAACACCATACCTACTGTGAAGCATGGGGGTGGATACATCATGCTTTGGGGCTGTTTTTCTGCAAAGGGACCAGGACGACTGATCCGTGTAAAGGAAAGAATGAATGGGGCCATGTATTGTGAGATTTTGAGTGAAAACCTCCTTCCATCAGCAAGGGTATTGAAGATGAAACGTGGCTGGGTCTTTCAGCATGACAATGATCCCAAACACACCGCCCGGGCAACGAAGTAGTGGCTTCGTAAGAAGCATTTCAAGGTCCTGGAATGGCCTAGCCAGTCTCCAGATCTCAACCCCATAGAAAATCTTTGGAGGGAGTTGAAAGTCCGTGTTGCCCTGCTAAAAAACTTGAACGTGACCAATACAATTTGATTTGATTTTATTAGAAATGTTCACTATATGTACAGTACATCAATAGAGCATGTATTGATACAAATGTGTGTGTGTGTGGTAAAATGTACTCAGACAGTCTTTAACTTGTCTTTAACGTGTGTGTGTGTGTGTTACCATCCATCCAGCAGGACAGGAGCACTCTCCAGTGACATGGTGACACACTCCTCCGTTCTGGCAGGGGCATCTCTCCTCACACTGCTGCCCATGCTTCCCTGGCAGGCACAGGTCTTCACAACTATAGGAAAAGAGGCAAAACAGGAAAACAAACCTTATCGACTTAAAAACATGACTGGGTCAGAAATGAATGTGTGAGGCCGTGGTATTTAGAAATTGAAATAACACTGTCTTTCACAAGAACATCCCTTTCAAGTCCCTTTTTTCTTTAGTACCATAGCCACCCTCGTCAGCAACTAGCACATTTGTGTACATACAGTTTTTTTTTTCTTGTGTTTCCGAGTGCGTGTGTGCGTGTCTCTGCTGACTCACAAAGCTCCGAGGTATCCGGGCGAACACTTGCACTCTCCGGTCACGTGGTTGCACGTGGCACCATTCTGGCACTGGCACTTCTGTTGACATCCATTGCCATAGGTGCTTGCCACGCAGATCTCCTCACAGCGCCAGCCCCTGTACCCAGGCTGGCAGATACAGGCGCCTGTGATGGGGTTACACAGTGCACTGTTCTGACACTGGCAATGGTTACTGCAATGAGGACCCCAGTGGTTGCTGTCACACGCTGAGGGAGAAATAAGTGAGGGAATGTAAGGTTTAAACTTAAAGAGTTACAACAAGGGCTGAACAACAAGGCAACAAGGGCTGACATTAGTGTTCTATTTAGTGTATAAGTATGTGAGTTTGTCTGAAAAAATGCTGTCATGTCCTGGTCATTGAGGGATTGAAATACATAGACAATTAGTTTACTGCTAAGAGACCACACAAAATCCAGCCAGAAAACACTGGCCATCCACATCCAGTTCCTTAAGCTGATTCCATCAGTTATTGTTTTGATTTATTACCTCACGTTGAGGTCAATCATCTCTCTTTGCCAGTTGTACATAACTGGGATTTATTTTAGGTGCACACCTGTTTTAAGTTTTTGACAGGCAGCTGTGCTGGCAGATCACCTCAGCTAAAGCTAACGTAAACATTGGGGCGAAATTAACATGCGCTTCGTTGTTTCTACACTGAGTAAAGGATCACTTGACCAAAACAAACATCGGCCCCCAAGTGTTTCAGTCTTCCAGAGATTTGAGACTGGGACGGAGATTCACCTTCCAGCAGCACAATGACCCTAAGCATACTGCTAAAGCAACACTCGGGTGGTTTATGGGGAAACATTTAAATGTCTTGGAATGGCCTAGTCAAAGCCCAGACCTCAATCGAATTGAGAATCTGTGGTATGACTTAAAGATTGTTGTACACCAGCGGAACCCATCCAACCTGAAGGAGCTGGAGCAGTTTTGCCTTGAAGAATGGGCAAAAATCCCAGTGGCTAGATGTGCCAAGCTTATAGAGACATACCCCAAGAGACTTGCAGCTGTAATTGCTGCAATAGGTGGCTCTACAAAGTATTGACTTTGGGGGAGTGAATAGTTATGCACGCTCAAGTTCACGCTCAAGCTTATTTCTTGTTTGTTTCACAATAAAACATATTTTGCATCTTCAAGGTGGTAGGCATGTTGTGTAATATTAATAATAATAATAATATGCCATTTAGCAGACTCTTTTATCCAAAGCGACTTACAGTCATGCGTGCATACATTTTTGTGTATGGGTGGTCCCAGGGATCGAACCCACTACCTTGGCGTTACAAGCGCCGTGCTCTACCAGCTGAGCTACAGAGGACCAGAGTTGTGAAAATGAAATGATACAAACCCCCCCAAAATCCATTTTAATTCCAGGTTGTAAGGCAACAAAATAGGAAAAATGCCAAGGAGGGTGAATACTTTCGCAAGCCACTGTACAAGCCCTTAACCAACAATGCAGTTTAAGAAAAATAAGAGTTAAGAAAATATTTACTAAATAAACATATTTTTTTATTTAAGTAACACAATAAAATAATAATAACAAGGCTATATACAGAGGGTACTGGTACTGAGTCAATGTGGGGGTACAGGTTAGTCGAGGTAATTTAGTTAATAGCCCCGTGTAGCTCAGTTGGTAGAGCATGGCACTTGCAATGCCAGGGTTGTGGGTTCGATTCCCATGGGGGGCCAGTATGAAAAATAAAAAATGTATATGTATGCACTCACTAACTATACGTCTCTCTGGATAAGAGCATCTGCTAAATATGTAAAATGTAGGGGTAAAGTGATAGATAATAGATAGCATAGATAATAAACAGTGATTAGTAGCACTGTCAAAAAAGGGGGGGTCAAGAGGGGGCGCTAGTGAGCACCTCATGGAGAAGACGCTTCTCTGACTACCTCCTCCTCACCCCTGCTTACATGTGATTTACATTTTGCCCGATCAAACTGCTACAATGAGCAACCCTATGAGAAACACAGCCAAGGGGAAACTAAATAATCTAAAAACAACCGGCAAGAGAGACTGCAAAGTCCATACCGCCGTGTCTGAACCCACCACAGCACAAGACGAGGATGGCGATGCTTGCGTTAGCCTGGCCGTAATGGCTAGCATGGCTAACCCTGACTCGGAGCCTTCACCGACTATCATATTAGCAGCTATCAAGAAAATTGAAGAGGACATGAACACTCGATTTAATCATCTGGACTCATCCTTATAATCAGTGCAAACCTCCCTTGCTGACCACACAACCCGCATTATTGACCTGGAAGGAAACACAGGTGACCACAAGACACACATCACCACCCTCGAGGGACAGTATGAAGAGCTACTAACAGCAAACAAAGCTATGAACCTCGAGGGACGTTCAAGGCGTTTTAATATCAAAATCACAGGCTTGGAAGAAACAATTGAGAATGGCAGACCAACTCAGTTTGTGGCAGAACTCATACCAAAACTATTAGGGATCAACAATTTCCCCCAAGGCCTAAAAGTGGACCGAGTGCACCACATCGGCATGCTCTCCGCTACGCGGCCCCGAGTAATTATTGCCAAAATCCACCACAACCCCGAGAAGGAAAAGATTATGCGCCTGTCCTGCCAGCAATTCCCCCTGTCCTTCAACGGGGCTCGGGTTAACATATACCCAGACTACACTGCTGAGGTAACCAAGCAGCGCCAGGCCTTCGATAGAGCAAGGAAGATACTCAGAGAGGCGGGAATCAGACACGGCCTCCTCTTCCCTGCTCGGCTGATTCTTACCCACGGTACAGTAGAGAAGGTGTTCGAAAAACCACAGGATGCCGAGTCGGGTTGTTAGTTCCGATTATCCTGCCGTTTTTAGAAATGACAGCGCTGTCATCTTTTCATGCAAATGACAGGGATTTGGGCCTGGTCGGGTATCTCGAGTAAATCCTTTGTGTCCGACTCGTTTTTTTTTGTCCTGTTCTGATATCCAGAAGCTCTTTTTGGTCATAAGAGACGGTGGCAGAAATATGATGTACAAAATAAGTTACAAACAATGCGAAAAAACACACAAAATAGCACAATTGGCAGTCATCTCCTCCAGCGCAGACACCCGGAATCTTTATACTCAGCCAATATCTCCCAATATCTTCCTAATATTAAAGAAAGATAAAGATTAAAAAGATCCATCTTCATATCGTCCTATTGCCCTGCTCGGATACGACCTTAAGGTGTTTCCTAAAATACTCGCAAACAGACAAATAAATGCATTTCAACAATAATTCATCATGACCAAACTGGTTTTATCCCAGGCAGATTCTCATTTTCCAACGTTAGGCGACTGATGAATATCATGTATTCCAAACATGACAAAGATTCTAAAGTTGCCATTCTTGCACTTGACGCTCAACACCCGTTGAATATGGCCAGTGTCAGTAAACGTTGGCAAAACATAAAAACAGCCTAACCAGCCCTGCTAGGGCGAGTAAAATGGGTGAGTGAGCTGTTCTCTCATTTGTGTCTGGAAGTAGCTAGCAAGCTAGCCAACGTTAGCCAGTTAGCCAGTTAGCTTGGGTGCTTGACTCCTGTTGTTTGGTCAGAACGCTCGGATCAACCCTCCTCCTAGGCCAGAGCATCCAGTGTGCGCTCTGAACGCTCCAAGAGTGAAACGCTCTGAATTTACGAACGGACAATCTGACAACGCTCTGAGTTTACGAATGCCCAGAGCACACTCTGGCACTCCAGATTAAATGTACGAACACACCCGTAGTATAAACCCGCCTTTAGTCTTGAAATCTTTGGTTGTTTAATACATGGCCTCACATGTGAATCCTTAAAGAGATGGGTGGGGCTAAGGCTTAAGAGGGTGTGAACGATGCTGAATGGGTGTAGACAAAGAAGAGGTCTTCAGTAGGTTTACCAAAACATTCAAGAGCCATTTTCTCAAAAGTGAGGTTACAAGTTTATCAACTTTCAAAGCAGAATAACTTTCCCATTGTTCCTCAACTGTAGTGTATGACATACAGTTGAAGTCGGAAGTTTACTGACATCGGCCATATTCAACGGGTGTTGAGCGTTCGTAAATTCGTCAGTTATTCTGCGCTCTGGCACACTCAGACGAGAGCGCTCTGACTGAAATCGGAGTAGATAGCCAGAGCAAATTTACCAGCTACGTCTATCGACAGTTATTGCAGTGACATCATGAACATTCTATTGAAATGGTTACTTGCATAGTGGAGTCTTTTGTTTAGAGATGTAGCTAGCTAGTTAGCTAGCTGAACAATGAACCATAACTCATAACGTGACTACCCTGCATGAATCTGCAGGTAGCTAACCAACCAGGTTCAACTTAAAATGAAAACGACTTTCCGACATAATTAGAAATGTGTAATATTTGAAAATGTAGACTATCTCACCCGTATACATGGATGGACGCTTCTCCCTCTCTGTCTCGGATGCCATGGTTGCCCTTAGTTTGAAGATGTAATCCGGAGACGTGTTTTATATAACAGACATCTGTGTGTTCTCTTTTTGACTCCGTCTGCATATTTGCAATCAAATGCCAGAATTTTCTCCATCTCCTTAGCTATCATACTCTAATTCCACCGGGCATTCCACTGATTTCAAAACACGGTCCTCCAGAAAGTAAATTATGGCTAGCGGGAAGGTTCCTGTCTTTGTCCGTGCCTAAACCAACTTGGCTCCTAATCTAACATTTTTATTCAAATTGACAATAACCCATGTTATTTCCATTCGATGGATGGAACTCCTGACGCAGGAACTCCTATAATCAATCTCTTTACTTTACTTATTTTTACTGTTCTTTATTAACTTCACTAAATTGCTACTATACCTATGCAAATCAGTCTAAATGATCCTGTCAAAAACAAACTCATGTTTACAACCCAATCAAAGCATTATCCAGAGAGCCTCTATGAGACAGAGAGCACCCCTCTTGAAAAAAAAGTGTCAGTTACAGAGAAAAAAACATTGCCCAGTAATTTGACCTGCCAGGTGTTGAGAGTTGGTTTTTCCATGCATCTAAGATCGCCCACTCTGGCATGCAGAGCCCTGCACAGCGTGTCAGCCTAGAAGGTTCATGGGAATAGTAATTTACTTCACAGGGATACGGAGGATTCCCAACTAAAAGATGACATCTGTACGATTACTCAACATTTCCACAGTATTGCATGTGTGCATAAAAGCAGATATATTATATATTTCTCTCTCTCTCTCTCTCTCTCTCTCTCTCTGACTTTATTAACTTCTTTATTCTTTAATAACTTCACTAAATTGCTTCTGTACCTATGCAAATCAGTCTAAATGATCCTGTCAAAAACAAACTCATTGTCACACCCTGATCGGTTTCACCTGTCTTGTGCATGTCTCCACCCCCCACCAGATGTATCCCATTTGTCCCCATTATCCCCTGTGTATTTATTCCAGTGTTTTCTGTTTGTCTGTTGTCAGTTCGTCTTGTCTCGTCAAGCTTACCAGCGTTTTGCCCATACTCCTGTTTTTCCTCTTGTCATGGTGTGCTGAAGGTGGGTGTGGTGTATGAATCAGGCGCAGGACGCAGAGGCTCAGTCCAAAGGCTTTAGTGCAAAATTCACACAAACAAAAGCACAATAAGCCTGAAGGTGAATACAAGGCGCACACAGGCGACAAAATAAACGGCGCACAAAACATGTGCAAAGTAACCACTCCAAACACTGGAGGGAAATAGTAGCTCCAACACGTAACAGAAGCGCAATCACACACAAACACAGACACACACAACGAGAACTAAATAGAACACTAACGAGGACTAACTAGACACAGGTGTACAACATAAAGACCAAACCAAACGAACATGAAACATAGATCGGTGGCAGCTAGTACTCCGGGGACGACGACCGCCGAAGCCTGCCCGAACCAGGAGGAGGAGCAGCCTCGGCCGAAACCGTGACAGTACCCCCCCCTTGACGCGCGGCCCCAGCCGTGCGCCGACCCCGGCCTCGGGGACGACCAGGAGGACGCGGAGCAGGGCGCGCGGGATGGTCCCGGTGGAACTCCGACAGGAGAGATGGGTCTAGGATGTCCCTCCGCGGCACCCAGCACCGCTCCTCCGGGCCGTACCCCTCCCACTCCACGAGATACTGGAGACCCCCCATCCGGCGTCTGGAGTCCAAGATGGACCGAACGGTGTACGCCGGAGCCCCCTCGATGTCCAATGGGGGCGGAGGAGTCTCTCCTATCTCATTGTCCTGGAGTGGACCAGCTACCACCGGCCTGAGAAGAGACACATGGAACGAGGGGTTAATATTCTTATATTCAACAGGTAGATGTAACTTATAACACACCTCGTTCAATCTTCTCAGGACTTTAAAGGGCCCCACAAACCGCCGACCCAGCTTCCGGCAGGGCAGGCGGAGGGGTAGGTTTCTGGTAGAGAGCCAGACTCGATCTCCGGGTGCGTACACCGGCCCCTCACTGCGGTGGAGATCGGCGCTCGCCTTGTGACGACGGACGGCCCGCTGCAGGTGGACGTGGGCAGCGTTCCACGTCTCTTCCGAGCGCCTCATCCAATCATCCACCGCAGGGGCCTCGATCTGGCTCTGCTGCCACGGTGCCAGAACCGGCTGGTAACCTAATACACATTGGAAAGGGGTTAGGTTGGTAGAGGAGTGGCGGAGAGAATTCTGGGCCATCTCGGCCCAGGGAATGTAACGCGCCCACTCCTCAGGCCGGTCCTGGCAATACGACCTCAGAAACCTACCCACATCCTGGTTGACACGTTCTACCTGCCCGTTACTCTCCGGGTGGTACCCCGAGGTAAGGCTAACCGAGACCCCCAAACGCTCCATAAACGCTCTCCACACCCGGGAGGTAAACTGGGGGCCTCGATCAGACACTATATCCTCGGGGACCCCGTAATGCCGGAAGACGTGGGTAAATAGGGCCTCAGCAGTCTGTAGGGCAGTAGGAAGACCCGACATAGGGAGAAGACGACAGGCCTTAGAGAACCGGTCCACAACGACCAGGATGGTGGTATTCCCCTGAGAGAGGGGAAGGTCTGTTACAAAATCCACCGAGAGGTGGGACCATGGTCGTTGTGGAAGAGGTAGGGGCTGTAACTTACCCCTGGGCAGATGTCGGGGTGCCTTACACTGGGCGCACACCGAGCAGGAGGAGACATAAACCCTCACATCCCTAGCCAAAGTGGGCCACCAGTATTTAGTGCTAAGGCAATGCACTGTCCGGCCGATACCCGGATGTCCAGAGGAGGGTGACGTGTGGGCCCAGTAAATGAGTCGATCCCGAATCTCGAGCGGAACGTACTTCCGACCCTCAGGACACTGTGGAGGGCTGGGGTCGGTACGTAACGCTCGCTCGATTTCGGAATCGACCTCCCACACCACCGGTGCCACAAGGAAAGACTCCGGTAGTATGGGAGTGGGCTCAACGGACCTCTCCTCCGTGTCATACCGCCGGGACAGCGCATCTGCCTTGCCATTCTGGGACCCAGGGATGTACGTGATTTTAAATACGAACCTGGTGAGAAACATACTCCATCGAGCCTGGCGAGGGTTCAGTCTCCTCGCTGCCCGGATGTACTCCAGGTTCCGATGGTCAGTCAAAATGAGGAAAGGGTGTTGAGCCCCCTCAAGCCAATGCCTCCACACCTTAAGGGCTTGAACTACAGCTAACAGCTCCCTGTCCCCAACGTCATAGTTACGCTCCGCCGGGCTGAGCTTCTTAGAGTAAAAAGCACAGGGGCGGAGTTTAGGTGGCGTGCCGGACCGTTGAGAGAGAACGGCCCCTATACCAGCCTCAGACGCGTCTACCTCAACCTGAAAGGGTAATGCGGGATCCGGATGCGCCAGCACCGGAGCCGACGTAAACAGGTCCTTCAGTCTCCTAAAGGCCCTGTCCGCATCGGCCGACCACTGCAGTCGCACCGGACCCCCCTTCAGAAGGGACGTGATGGGAGCTGCCACCTGTCCAAAACCCCGGATAAACCTCCGGTAGTAATTCGCAAAGCCCAAAAACTGCTGCACCTCTTTTACAGTAGTTGGGGTTTGCCAATTACGCACAGCGGACACACGATCCACCTCCATTCTCACCCCTGACGCGAACAACCGATAACCCAAAAAGGAGACCGACTCCTGGAAAAACAGACATTTCTCTGCCTTGACATATAGGTCGTGTTCCAACAGCCTCCTCAATACACGACGCACCAGGGTTATATGCTCGGCTCGGGTAGACGAGTACACCAGAATGTCATCAATGTACACGACCACCCCTTGTCCCTGCATATCCCGGAAAATCTCATCTACGAAGGATTGGAAGACTGATGGAGCATTCATCAACCCATATGGCATGACGAGATATTCGAAATGACCTGACGTGGTACTAAACGCTGTCTTCCATTCGTCACCCTCCCTAATGCGCACCAAGTTATACGCGCTCCTGAGATCCCGTTTTGTGAAAAACCGCGCTCCATGCAATGACTCCGTCATGGTCGCAATCAGAGGGAGTGGATAACTGTATTTCACAGTAATCTGATTGAGACCACGGTAATCAATGCACGGGCGCAACCCTCCATCTTTCTTTTTCACAAAAAAGAAGCTCGAGGAGGCGGGAGAAGTGGAGGGCCGAATGTATCCCTGTCTCAAAGATTCGGCTATGTAAGTCTCCATAGCTTTTCTCTCCTCTTGAGACAAAGGATACACATGGCTCCGTGGGAGCGCTGCTCCTGCCTGGAGATCAATCGCACAATCCCCCTGTCTATGAGGAGGCAACTGCGTCGCCCTAGTTTTGCTAAACACGAGAGCTAAATCCCCATATTCAGGCGGAATGTGCAGTGCGGGCACTTGGTTTGGACTCTCCACCGAAGTCGCCCCCACGGAAACACCCAGACATCGCCCCTCGCACTGAGCAGACCACCCATCGAGAGCCCTCTGTTGCCACGAAATAGCAGGGTTGTGGGTGCTTAACCAGGGAATCCCCAGCACCACTGGGTACGCAGGAGAGTCGATCAGATACAGCTGTATAGTCTCCTCATGACCCCCCCTGCGCACACATCCGAAGTGGCGCTGTGATCTCCCTGATCAACCCCGACCCCAACGGACGGCTATCTAAGGCATGAACGGGAAAAGGTTTGTCAACAGGTAGGAGAGGGATCCCTAACTCAAAACAAAACTTCCGATCAACAAAATTCCCAGCTGCGCCTGAATCTACGAGCGCCTTATGCTGGGAATGAGGTGCAACCTGTGGAAAACACACAGGTATACAAAAGTGCGCAACAGAAAGCTCTGGGTAAGTTGGACGTCTACTCACCTGGGAGGCCCCCCCCAGTGCGTGGCCTGTTGTCTTCTCCCCCGGAGAACCCTCCCCAGCACCTGGCCGCAGTGTGCCCTCCACGACCGCACTTGGTGCAGGAGACAGGCCCCCTCGGGCTCCTCCTACTCCGTTCTCTAGCGCCGGCACCCCCGAGCTCCATAGGGCTCGGCTCGGAGGCGCCGGAGGGCGGAATGGACGGACTCCCCTCGGGACGTCCACGGGTGGCCAGCAGGGTGTCCAGACGGATGGACATATCGACCAACTGGTCGAAGGTAAGATGGGTATCCCTGCAGGCCAACTCACGTTGAACGTCCTCTCGTAGGTTACATCGAAAATGGTTGATGAGAGCCCGTTCATTCCACCCTGCATCAGCCGCTAGAGTCCGGTACTCTAGAGCGAACGCCTGCGCGCTCCTCCTCCTCCCCTGTCTCAAATGGACTAGACGCTCCCCCGCCGCTTTGCCCTCAGGTGGATGGTCGAACACGGCCTTGAAGCGGCGGGAGAACTCTGCGTAGGTCATGGTGTTGGCGTCCATTCTCCTCCACTCGGCGTTAGCCCACTCCAACGCCTTGCCCGTGAGACAGGAGATGAGGGCGGAAACGCTCTCGTGTCCCGAGGGCACCGGGTGTACAGTGGCCAGGTAGAGCTCCACCTGCAGGAGGAACCCCTGACACCCGGCAGCTGTTCCGTCATACGCCCTCGGGAGCGAGAGCCGAATCCCCCTGGGTTCCGAACCTAGGACTGGTGGACCGACCGATGGGGTGGGCAGGGTAGGTGGAGGTGTGGGTACCCGGCTGGCCTCCCATCGGTGCAAGGTGTAGATTACCTCCTGTAGAGCGGTCTCCAGTTGTCGAATCTGGCCATCTTGTCCACGGATATGCTCCTCGAGCGACACAGGCGTCTCTGCCGATCCTGCTGATTCCATTGTGGTGTGTGATTCTGTCATGGTGTGCTGAAGGTGGGTGTGGTGTATGAATCAGGCGCAGGACGCAGAGGCTCAGTCCAAAGGCTTTAGTGCAAAATTCACACAAACAAAAGCACAAGGCGCACACAGGCGACAAAATAAACGGCGCACAAAACATGTGCAAAGTAACCACTCCAAACACTGGAGGGAAATAGTAGCTCCAACACGTAACAGAAGCGCAATCACACACAAACACAGACACACACAACGAGAACTAAATAGAACACTAACGAGGACTAACTAGACACAGGTGTACAACATAAAGACCAAACCAAACGAACATGAAACATAGATCGGTGTCAGCTAGTACTCCGGGGACGACGACCGCCGAAGCCTGCCCGAACCAGGAGGAGGAGCAGCCTCGGCCGAAACCGTGACACCTCTAGTCCCTGTATTCCAGTTTTTACCATTGTGTCTGCCCTGACCCTGAGCCTGCCTGCCGTTCTGTACCTTGTGACACTGTTCTGGATTACTGACCTCTGCCTGCCCTTGACCTGTCATTTTCCTGCCCCCTGTTTTTGTAAATAAACTTTTGCCATTTCAAACTGACTGCATCTGGGTCTTATCCTGAGCCTTGATACTCATGTTTACAACCCAATCAAAATATTATCCAGAGAGCCTCTGAGACAGAGAGCACCCCTCTTGAAAAAAGTGTCAGTTACAGAGAAAAAAACATTGCCCAGTAATTTGACCTGCCAGGTGTTGAGAGTTGGCCCCAGACCTTGCCCCATACCAAGAGCAAGGGATGGAGGGATGGAAAAAGGGAGGGAGGGATGGAAGGAGGGAGGGAGAGAGAGAACTTAGATTTAATGTAGGATTTTTCTCCTGACACCGCCTGCTTAGTGTGTGTAGCCTGTAACACACCAAAACAAAATATACAGCGTTCCAAATAAAGATGTTCTTGTTTTCTCACAGCGCAACAAATAACTGTGAACATTCCTCATCAGTCTCTCCCATGTCCACCATATAAACAAAACAAACTGTCTGGATGACAACAGACTTTCAGTCAATCAGATGCAGCAATGTTAACACACACACCAGGGGTGGGCGGTGGGCCTGAGGGGCTATCCTGAGATAGACTCATATTGATCGGTGAGCATCACAGTCAATACAGATTAGTTACAGCAATCACAGAGCGTGTGGCCTCCAGGCGCAGACCAACGGCCAGTAGGACCCCTCACTGTGGCTGTGTCATGCTATCATTGTCATACTGTCTAAATAATTCAAAATCCTGACAAAACATAACATTAAAATAATAAAGGCCAAATGTAAAAATGTAGTTCCCTCTGCAATAGCTTAGCAGTAATCTGTACCATATCTAAAATACATGTTTATTTTAGATATAGTACAGGTTAGGGGGGGTGGGGTTGGGGGGGTGGGGGTGCGTGTGTGTGTGTGAGAGAGAGAGATAAGGGAGGAAGTGTTTATTGGCAGCAAGGGTCTATAGTCACACTGTGGGTGAGCTGAGAGACGAGTGGGCGAGCTGAGAGATAAAATGCCTGTTAATGTGTATGTGTGTGTGTGCGCCTGTGTGTGTGTGTTACTCTCAATCTCTCTCTGTATGTAGGCAAGCCGAGGTGGACAGACAGATAGACAGACAGGCACAGCTGTAGAGTCTTACCACTGGAGCAGTCGGGGCCCCCCCAGCCGGGCTCACACTGGCAGGTGCTGGGGGCCAAGCAACGGCCGTGAACACACTTCTCCGCACAGTGGGCTGGGGAAAGGGATAAGGAGGAGCAAGGAAAGAGAAGGGAGGGATGAGGGGGAGAGAGAAAACAAGGGGAAAGTAAGGTCCGATTTCAGTGGCTGCACATCGCTACTTCCATGAAAAACGTGGATTCACATCAAATGAATACAGATTACTCAAGAGATAACAACAATCTTATAATAAGGGTTTGATTGAGCCTGTCTGGGGTGCCAGATGGGTGGGGTTTGCACTTTTGGGACTATTCAATTTGTTTCCATTGCCCCAGGCAAGCTCAATCAAGAGTATCTAAAGCGTTTGAAAGAAAACAAATACAATTTGAACCCATGTTCAGAATAGAATGGGATCAAATGCATTCGAGAAAGAGACTTCAGGCTGGTCATGGTTTGTTCACAACGTCTAAAAAACATGTAAACAAATATAACAGACCGACCGGCAATAAAGATGGCACTTGTGTAGGAGTTATAATAATATATATAATATGCCATTTAGCAGACGCTTTTATCCAAAGCGACTTACAGTCATGCGTGCATACATTTTTTTGTGTATGGGTGGTCCCGGGGATCGAACCCACTACATTGGCGTTACAAGCGCCGTGCTCTACCAGCTGAGCTACAGAGGACCACAGAGTTGAAAGGCCATTCATGGTTACTTATTATGCTATAGAACTTTTGTTTCATGTATTTTTGTACAGCTGAGGAAATCTGTTATTATTCCGCCTATCAAACAAATACTGATTTGCGGGGTTGATGTCATAGTGGATGTTATAAAAGTGAAGTCATTAGTGATCAGCAGTAAAAAACAGTGGGCCTCATTCATCAATATCTACCTAAGAATTTTCTAAACTTTGTTCTTAATAAACTCCCTAAGAAAAGTCTACGTCGGATTCATGACATGTTCTTAAACAACAGAATTGTTCGCACCTGTGTTCTTAGGATTGATGAATCCCATGTCTTCGTAATTGAAAGCGTGTGCCAGTTGTTCCTAATTATCATAAGAAAACGCCCCGCAAATTCCCATATTAGGACATGATACTTCAGGGCCGTGTGCAAGAAAAGTTGGAGAATGTCCAAAAGACGCACAGACGGTGGTGGTCCACCGATCACCAAACGAAAAAGGAACTTCAGTCATTCTGAAATAGAAATTCTACTGCAACAGGTAAATGCCAAACGAGGCATAATATGTAGTAGTGTTTCCAGTGGTTTTAAAGCCACCAACAAAACGGAGGCATAGAAGGAGATCACGGATTCCGTGAACTCTGTTTCGGATAATGTCGCTCAATTGAAGATGTAAAAAATAAATGGTTTGACTTAAAATCAGAGACCAAAAAATCCATTGCCAAACATAAGAGACATGCTGACCACTGGAGGGGGCATGCATGCCCTGAGTTATCTGAGATTGACCAGCGCATCGGGGCCATTATTGGTGAGACAGCACTTTCAGGTGTGCCATCAGCGGAGCAACTGGACACTGACCAGGGCCCTATATCAACAGCTTCATATCCTCCAAGGCCATCTCCCACCAGTGAATCAGACGGTAAGCAAGTATTTCTGAATTTATACAATTTCATGCCATAACGTAACTGAACGCAATGGTGAAACCATTGGAAAGGAATTTTACACCAGTTTGTCAAACCTGGTGAATTCCTAGTTTATTCAGTTTGAAATCCTATTGCTTTTGCAGTAGGCCTATTGAACAAACTGAAAAATCAAAAAAATTTAAAAAATCAGTGCACTGACTGTTACTTTCAGTATCGTTTTTGTTATTTACAGATCTCCAATCCAGGCAACCCCTCTGTGAAGAGGAACCTGACACCATTCCGCCTTCCTGCAGTAGGCCTGCCTCTGTACGTGCCCCCAGGTCCCGTCCAACTGCACGTCATCTCTGATGCAGTCTTGGATAACCAGGAGCGGATTGCGCAAAGTCTCTGTGAAATCGCTTCTACTCTGGCCACAATATCAGAAACTCAAAGACATAAACACACATTTAAAAATATAAAGAACGCGCACTGAAACCTATGTCATTTAATGTGTTTTATTTAAAGGACAAAACAAATCAAAAACGAGACATTATTTATTGTCTGACTTCCACGCCAAGTCGGTTGTCTGGTCCCAGCAATGGGTCAGGACGCACATCCTGGTGTGGTGGCTGAAGTGGAAGTGGAACACCACGCTTTATAGCGATGTTGTGTAACACAACAGGCCATGATTATTCTGCAAACCTAAAAACGGTGTAAAGATGATCAAAAGCTAGAAAAATAAAATGAATTGTTGGAATTAGATTATTCTACAACATTTTTTTCAAACCTGAATAAAACAAGTAGTCCTACTCCCCTTCTCTGGCTTGTAAAGCAGCTTACCACCTGCTGTGTTCAAACACATCCAGCGTCCCTTCAGAATACCAATGGTTCGCTCAATGGTGGAACGGGTGCGTGCGTGCCTCTGGTTATAAGAGGCCTCTTGGTGCGTCTGAGGGTTTGTTAGTGGCGTCATTAGCCAGGGCGCAAGGGCATACCCCCGATCTCCTAATGAAACAAGTCATTAATGAAGAAACCCACTTTTTGAAACCAACAATTGGAATTTGAAATTACTGAACGATGCTTACCAATGAGCCATGCGGCTCCAGCAGCTCCTTGTTCCAGGCACATTCCCACAGAACTGTTCTGCAAAATATAAGAGTCATGTGCACCTCCTGGGAAGCGGGAGACCCCGTTCAAGAGATGGTTGTCGAAGTCGCAGATGACTTGTACATTGATTGAGTGATATTGCTTGCGGTTGAGGTATGGGAATGGGTCTGGTGAGGGTGCCTTAATGCGCACGTGAGTGCAGTCTATTGCCCCGATTACGTTGTGCAGACCCGCAATAGAGTAGAACCCTCTCTTGACCGGCAGCTGTTGTTGCGCTGTGTAGGGGAAGAAAATATATTGTGTGGCCAGTTGATTTATTCCATCCACAACTCGTGGGAGAGCGCGGCTGATGGATGGCTGTGATATGCCCACCCGGTCTGCTAACTCCCGCTGATATGTCCCAGTGGCTAAAAATCCCAAGGTGGAGAGTACCTGCACATGAGGTGGTACGGGATTGGACCGTTGGGTATGGCTTCGCAGCGCTGGCTCCAAAGTATCACACAGCTCCATTAAAACGTGTATTGGAAGCCTAAACCGTCCGATCAAGTACTCGTCAGTCTCTGCAAATAAATCAACGTGATCCTCAAAGATGCGTTCACTTCTCAGAGCACGCTCGGCAATGTCGTCAAGCAGCAATAGATGTGCCATTTTGATAGCATGCCTGATGTGCAGAAACAGGCCCATTTTGGCCCTATAAATAGTGTGATCAATCACCACATAATGCAGGATTTAGAGGGGGGAGGGGGGGGGGGGGGGGGGGGGGGGGGGGAGTCAGACAGAAAGGATGAAAGTGAGAGAGGTGGGAAGAGAGGAAGACAGACAGAGAGATGGAGAGAGAAACAGAGAGATAAAGACAGCAGTGCAAATGTACTTAGGCTAGAGTATTTCAACAATTCTTCTCTTCCAACTTGTTAGACACTCACATGTACCTACGGGGGAAGGATGGCCAGCCACACAGGAAGGTGATTTTCACTACGGAGGAGGAGGAGGCCGTGCTGACCGAGATGCATGCTGGCCATTTCGGAGTAAAGCGCATGATTGTCAAAATCAACCTACGCTTCTTCTGACAGGGAATTGTCAAGGAGGTGGACAGCTGGGCAAGTGAAATAACCTTTTGTTTACCAATCACATTCCATTATATCTGAAATTATTATGATTTCAGTGAATGTCATTTCAGAGAGCACACAATGTTTCAATTTGTCACTTTTAGCTTAAAGGTCAGTACCCTGTCTAGCCTGCCAGAAATTTGAGAGGGCGAATACTGTGGCGCTGGAGTTGAAGCCCATCAAAGTTGTTTCACCATGGCACATGATCGTTAAGTGTCCCAATTCAGATTTTGCCCTGATAAGTGGTTTTGTAATGGTTGCTTTATTTGACCGCAGCAGAGTTCAATATTATAGAATGTGTGTGTGTGTGTGTGTGTGTCAGTATCCTTACAAATATGAACATCTGCATACTGTTATATGACACAGATACGGGTAAGAATAAAGTAATCTTCTCTCTAACACTTTAAATGTTAGGGGTGGACCTCATCGGACCACTAAATGTTAGGGGTGGACCTCATCGGACCCTTCATGAAATCCAGGAATGGCAACAGCTGGTGTCTGACGGCGACCGATCACTTTACCAAGTGGGTGGAGGCAATACCCATTAAGGTCAGTAAATGCTTAACTCTAAATTCCCTTCTGTAAACCATTAAAAAGGATGCTTCGAACCAAAAATATATTTTCGTTTTGTATGATACCCATCAAGGTCGAGACTGGCGAGGCCACCTCCAAGGCAATGATGGACATCTTCAACACCCACGGTTCTCCTGAGGTCATCTTGAGTGACAGAGGTCATAAACGCTGGAACAAGGTACGGATGTTATAAGTTATATTGTGTCACCAATGGTTTGTTTTATTTAATTTTTATAATTTGTTTTTGTTTTTCCATGGTACATAATCAGACATATTTCAATATCTTCCATTGTCTATAGACATGGCTTTCCTACCCCCTCCTCCAGGTTTGGTGAATGGACCAACCAGACCCTCAAGACTGCCATGGGCAAGTCCCTTGATTGGTACCAGGAAGGGTGGGAGAACAACCTGAAGGTAATTCTCTTTGCACACAACAACAGCATCCAGGCCTCCACCGAGTACGGACGGGAGCCGCAGCTGTTGACTGAGGTAAACAATGCAATTGTACATACAATTATTGCATATACTGTAGTCTTTCAAAATTGTGATTGACTTAGTGTTGTTTTTTGTCTATTGCTATTTTTGTATAACGTACTTTCAGATCACTGAAACCCCACCTGATGTGGTGGAAGTTGTTGAACCAGATCAGAACGCCTTCGAGGACCACTTTCATGCACGGACTGAGAAGGATGTGGAGGTTTTTGACCAGGTAAAAATGATTGTCCGCTGTTAATTTCTTTTCTGGCCCTCCAAGAGATATGTAAGAAATGTATTTGTAATATGAAATATAATTGCATTTATTCCTGTTATCAATCAAGGTGAGACTGAACATCGACAAGGTGCAGGACAAACAGAAGGAGAGCTACCGGAGGAGAATCAAGAAGGGGACGAAGTGCTTCGACATCCGGGCAAATTACTTGGTTTGGAAGCAGGATAAAAGACAGAGAAAAATATCAGTGTTAGGGAAACTAAAACTAGCTTCAGGATATCTTGTGTGCAAATGCAAATAGTTATTATCTGAGATTGTTTATATTCACCTTAACAGATGGTGAGCCCAGCTAGGAGCGAAAGCTGGGCTCCTAGCTGGGCTCACCATCTGTTAAGGTGAATATAAACAATCTCAGATAATAACTATTTGCATTTGCACACAAGATATCCTGAAGCTAGTTTTAGTTTCCCTAACACTGATATTTTTCTCTGTCTTCCTAGGGTTACCTTGGTGGAAGCCAACAATCATCTACAGTTGGAGCAGTTGGACGGTCAACCACTGAAAGCACTGACGCCCTACACTTCGGTGAAGCTCAATAGACAAAGTATGTTAAGCTTTGGTTGACATTTGAGAAAGCAAGAAATGGTAGTTATGCTGAGCTTATAAAAATGTACCTCTTTAATTTATCTCTCCAAATGACTTTAGGACCATCGACTGTCCAAGCCCCCCAGGAGGTATCCCATCCACCAGAACCAGTGTGTTTGGATCAGTCTGATTCTCTGTGCTCTGAGTCGGGGGGGGGACCAGCTTGAGGTAGGCTATATCTTTTAGTGTTGAAAAGTACATATCTCCCATTTATAACACAGCACTAATCCATCAACTTTTCTCACAGTAAAGTGTGACCTGTGTGTTTGCTTGTTTGCTTGATTCCGTCTCTGTCTCCTACTCTGTTCCCTTTACTCTGCTCCTGTTCTCCAGGACCTAGGGGTTCTGCCTAACACCCAGACGTGGATCCACCTGATGTCCTCCATTACCAACCACCCTCCAACTTTTCATTACATAATCTACAGATACTGTTATTGTCATGTTGTCATTATCTGCTAAGAAAGTTTTATTGCTCTATCATACTGGGCACATAATATGTAAAAACAATGGCTACAGATAGGGAGTAGTGATACTTACGGACACACATCTCCATGCTCTCATAGAAGCCGGGGCAGCACTGGGACTTGCGGTGGTACATGGTTTTCTCTCCTCTGCGATAGGCTGTCCGATAGCTCACCCTTTAGACACACAGACAGTATGATCAGAAAGGGGGACATCGGAAATACAGAGGAGACAGTAAACTAAAGTAGAAATGTGATTAGACATCTATTGATGGTGGACAAGTTGGTTAGTTACCAACATAATATTTAAGGAGCTTACAGTACTTATATACACAAAAGCTTTTATTATGACAATCATCCCTGTTGGCTTGGTATACGCTGTTCAAGCCAGTAGGTCTATTATCTTCCTCTTTGATATGTGCCTTCAGAAAGTATTCATGCCCCTTGATTTTTTCCACATTTTGTTATGTTACTGCCGGAATTTAAAATAGATTAAATTGAGATTTTGTGTCACTGGCCTACACACAATACCCCATAATGTCAAAGTGGAATTAAGTTTCTGGAATGTTTTACAAATTAATTAAAAAGGAAAAGCTGAAATGTCTCGAGTCAATAAGTATTCAACCTCTTTGTTATGGCAAGACTAAATCATTTCAGGCGTACAAATTTGCTTAACCTTTTCACGCATGAGTTCCAAATATCTCTAACGGTCGCCCCAGCATGAGTTTTTTTATGCACGTGATGTCAGAATTCGCTCAATGTTCCAACATGTGATTGTTACGCAACAGGAGAGTTAACCCATGTTGCCCTCAAACCAAGGCACGCTGCCTGCTAATTATCTATTGGCTGTTTCAACTTGTCAATTTAAAATTATTTTCTAACAAGTTTGATTTTCTAACAACAGTTTGAATTGAGGTGTGGTCCGCCTCCTCATTAATTCACATAAGTAGTAGCCCATTTCACTGTTTCGGACAATTTATGTTTGAGGTTTTACTGAGCAGGACAAACTTCTCTCTTCGTCGAGCCCAAGCACTTCCCCAGTGTTTCCCCAGATCAAGTATGAAGACATTGCGCATCTCTAATCAGAACAGACATTGTGCATCTCTGATCAGAACAAAATACTCATTTTGATTTTCTTTTTTAAAAGTTTGAGTTCAAATGGCTCTCGTGTGAAGTAGTGACGCGCGACACATGCCTAGTTTCCTGAAACGAGTCACATATCATGTTGCCGTTTCTACTGTAGCATACTGTATGTATGGAGCATAATGTATTTACTGTTTTATTTATGTTTTCAAGAACTGGTGACAAATCATGAATTCATATTCTTGCCTAGATTGTAATGGACACATATGGTGTCGTGGTCCTCTGTAGCTCAGCTGGTAGACCACGGCGCTTGTAACGCCAAGGTAGTGGGTTCGAACCCCGAGACCACCCATACACAAAAAAATGTATGCACGCACGACTGTAAGTCGCTTTGGATAAAAGTGTCTGCTAAATGGCATATTATTATTATATGATGTGTGTAAAATACTTTTTTGAAGGTTGTACTGATTACGATGAGCCAATGGTAAGCTATTTGCCAGCTATGTGTTGCGCCATGTTTGTTGACATCATACAATGCATTTTGGCTGTCACCTCTGTCAGACCATAGATGTTATAAAAAACGAGGTGACTTATGGTGCTTTCAAGTCAACCGGGAACTCAGAAAAATACGAGGTCAAATCATGATCTTCAGGTCGGAAAGTCGGAGCCTGAGTTCCCGAGTTGGAATTCTGAGTTGGATTTTTTTTTTTAATAATCAGAGTTCCCAGTTGTCTTGAACGCACTGAAGTCGGAAGTCAGAGATTTCCGAGTTCCCAGTTGTTTCGAACGCGGGCATCAGATTGTAACTATCGTACCTCAGGGTTGGCAGCTCAGACCCCCCTTTCCAGGGGTTTTATTTTTATTTGGCATATAAACTTCTCCTGTGTTTGCCCACCATTTTATTGATAAATCCCCCATCATAGTAATATTTCCTGCATCATATCCCCCCATGACACCTTCCCCCATTTCTACCCCCCATGGACTTGAAAACGCCCCACAAATTAAATGAACCCACCCACAAACCCCCCTAAAATGGGTTCATCCCTGTTTAGCTTTCGCGCTACAGTTAGGCTAGGCAGTAGGCTTGTATTTGGTGTGATGATCTGTGAGGTGATAACATTTTATTTGCTTTGTGATTCGTCAAAAACGGTAAATGACTTATCAAGTCATGTGCTCCAGTTCTTGTAGACACTGTAATAAGTACTTTGAAGATTTGTAGTATGCTGAAAAGTGGCCAAACTAAGTTAATATATTTCAGGCAATGGGCGCAACCATCTTTGAGTTTGAATTTGTTGATTTGCGTCTTATAGTGAATGGGATTAGGGAGTTTTCGCTTGTCAAACTTAAACAAACATGGCAGCCATCATAAAGAATTTAGCTGCTGTTAGCTTAGTTGACACGCATCTCTTTAATAAAAAACTATTACATTTCTCCCTTGTGCTCACCAGAGATCTGGTACATTGTAAACAAGTCTAGCGGTTAGGTCGCTAACTTATGTTTAGTCTTTTGTCAGCGTAACCTGTTATTTAGACTGGTTTATGGAATGTGTTTGGCTGTGGATGTGTTCCGTGTGATGTTTGGAGGATGAAGTTTGCATTTATATTTTACAATAAAATGTGAAATTGAGGAATAAAGTTCTGAAGACCTTTATTTCCCATCAGTACAAAACATTGTTTAGATGCTTTTCAGACAACAATGCTGTTTAGAGACGTTTGTTGCATCATACGTTCTGTTTCTACTGTAACAATCACATATTTGCGATGGTACGCTGCAGGGACTACTCCACAATGACCACAAATATGTGATCGTACGCGTCAAAGGGTTAACAAGTTACATAGACTCCTGAGTGGCGCAGTGGTCTAAGGCACTGCATCGCAGTGCTAACTGTGCCACTAGAGATCCTGGTTCGAATCCATGCTCTGTCGCAGCCGGCCGCGACCGGGAGACTCATGGGCGGCGCACAATTGGCCCAGGGTAGGGGAGGGAATGGCCGGCAGGGATGTAGCTCAGTTGATAGAGCATGGCGTTTGCAACGCCAGGGTTGTGGGTTCGATTCCCACGGGGGGCCAGTATAAAAAAACATGTAATCACTAACTGTAAGTCGCTTTGGATAAGAGCGTCTGCTAAAATGTAAATAATAAGTTGCATGGACTCATTGTGTGCAATAATAGTCTTTAACATGATTTTTGAATGACTGCCTCATCTCTCTACCCCACACATACTATTATCTGTAAGGTCCCTCAGTCGAACAGTGAATTTCAAACACAGATTCAACCACAAAGACCAGGGAGGTTTTTCCAATGAATTGCAAAGAATGGCACCTATTGCTAGATAAAACATTAAATAAATAAAAAAGCAGACATTGAATATCCCTTTGAGCATGGTGAAGTTATTAATTACACTTTGGATGGTGTATCAATACACCCAGTCACTACAAAGATACAGGCATCCTTCCTAACTCAGTTGCCGGAAAGGAATGAAACCGGTCAGGGATTTCACCATGAGGCCAATGGCGACTTTAAAACACTGAAAAGAAGGAAGCATCCTGTTTTCAATAAGGCACTCATGTGGCAAAGAAATTAACTTTATGTCCTGAATACAAAGCGTTATTTTTGGAGCAAATCCAGAACAACACATCACTGAGTACCACTCTTCATATTTTCAAGCATGGTGGTGGCTGCATCATGTTATGGGTATGCTTGTCATTGGCAAGGATTAGAGTTTTATTAAAATAAATGGAATAGAGCTAAGCACTGGCAAAATCCTAGGGGAAAACCTGGTTCAGTCTGCTTTCCAACAGACAATGGGACACACATTCATCTTTCAGCAGGACAATAACCTAAAACACAAGGCCAAATATACACTGGAGCTGCTTACCAAGACAACATTGAATTTTTGAAATAAAGCGGCTTGAAAATCTTGAAAATGGCGGTCAACAACCAACTTGACAGAGCTTGGAGAATTTATACAAATAATAATGTGTAAATATTGTACATTCCAGGTGTGCAAAGCTCTTAGAGACTTACCCAAAAGACTCACAGCTGTAATCGCTGCCAAAGTTGATTCTAACATGTATTGACTCAGGGGTGTGAATACTTTTTATGTAAACCAGATATTTCTGTATTTCATTTTCAATACATTTGCAAACATTTCTGAAAACATGATTTCACTTTGTCAATATTGAGTATTGTGTGTAGATGGGTGATTTTTAATTTTTTTAATACATCTTGAATTCAGGCTGTAACACAACAAAATGTGGAATAAATCAAGGGGTTTCTGAAGGCACTGTACATCCTCTACAACCGCAAGCAAACACACACATCTCCCCAATACACACACACCCCTCCATTCCATCCCTCAGTTGACCTCTCCCTCCTCACCTGTGCCTTGTGCACTTGAACCAGTTCAGGATGTCGGTGCAGCTGGTGTAATAAATCTGATCAAAGGGGTGGGCGTACGACTCCTGGATGGTGACCGAGTAGCTAAAAGAGAAAAATAGAGGAAGAGCAAGAAAAAAGAGTTACAAAGAAGTAGAGAGGAGGGTTACACACACAGTGCTCACCACGACCCCTATTTAGCCAACATGTCTCGCGTGTGGTCCCATAACTCAAGTGGTGTGCTAACGCTAGGACAAGCTCTAGGCTAAGCACTAGGCTAAACACTAAGTGATTTAATAAGAGCACCATTAGGCTTGTGTGTATCCCACAGGGATTAGGTACCAAGCAGCTTTCACCGACTCAGCGGTGGGTATCGTGGGCGAAATTAGCAAAACAGCCCATGTGCTGTGTGTGGCATCACATTTTGTCGCTACTAAGTCTGCATATTTATAACAGGGTTTATAAATAGGATAATACAATGTTTCGCATAGAAGAAAACGGTTGGCTGTGACAATGCCCCCTTGTGACATGCATGCGAGCAGTTGTGACTGCAAGGCTTTTTGGAAGACACGCAATGTGGAAATGGAGAATTCTTTTGATATGAGAGTTGGCTGCCAGAACCTTGAGGATGCTTCCTTTTAATGCCTGTGAAGAACATACAATTATTCAGCTCTGTTCCATCGTTAAAGTGCACTAATTTGAGTAACATCACTAATTCAAGGAACCGCAACATGACAAAGCCACATCTCTTTTTATACAGGCCTTTTACCAGAGTAAAGTGTTGGAATGACCTTTGCAAAAAGCTAGTACATGCAGGGTATGTAAGACATTAGCATTCACTTTTTAGAGTTTTTCTTGGAAAACTGGTAATTACTAGACTATGTAACTGTCTGAACATACATTCCTAGGGCACAGTAATTGCATAAGTTATCCACTTATAGTTACCCTGATAAAGCTGTCAGGTCTTAAATTTAGGGGTTTAAAGGGAATAAGACAGCACAAAATGACATTCGCAAGGCTAAAAGATTCCCAGCCACATGTTGGGTTTAAGGAACTGTTGTGTAACTTACTTCTCAGGGGAAATAAAAATATGTTACCCAAAATCATCATCCCAATAACATTAATTTAGAACAATAAAACATGCATTTGATAGAGATACAGTGTACACATGTCTTGATTAAATAGAGACAGGCCTTTTGATTAATGCCCATCAGACAGGAAGTGGATGTGAGGACAGAGGTGAAACGCATGAGAAGACACACACACACACACACACACACACACACACACACACACACACACACACACAAACAATTGCCCCAAGTCTGCGGGAGCTGTTCTGCGGCCTCTTTCTCTCTCCTCTCCCACTAAGCCCCTGAAAGGCTGCAGCTTTTTCTCCAGATTAGCCAGTGAAAGTGAATCTAGCTGGGAAAACTGCCTCCATCTTTGTTATTTTCAATCTGCTTTAATGGATTCCCTTTAATTTGGCAAAGGAAATCTTCAGTCTGTTAAAACCCAGCATGCATTCGTCTTAGGTGTGTGATTCCAACTAACCCGGTTTTGTCAAACGACGCGAAACGTGCATTTGAGTGTGACAGGATGTATGAACGCATGACTGTAAGTCACTTTGGATAAAATAGTCTGCTAAATGGCATATATTATATTATAGGACAATAGAGTGGCTTAATAAAGTATTCACCCCCCTTGGCATTTTTCCTATTTTGTTGCATTACAACCTGGAATTAAAAATTGATTTTTGGGGGGTTTGTATCATTTGATGTACACAACATGCCTCCCACTTTGAAGACGCAAAATAATTTTTATTGTGAAACAAACAAGAAATAATACAAAAAAAACAGAAAACTTCAGAGTGCATAACTATTCACCCCCCCAAATTAAATACTTTGTAGAGCCATCTTTTGCAGCAATTACAGCTGCAAGTCTCTTGGGGTATGTCTCTATAAGCTTGGCCTTGGAATTCTAGCCACTGGGATTTTTGCCCATTCTTCAAGGCAAAACTGCTCCAGCTCCTTCAAGTTGGATGGTTCCGATGGTGTACAGCAATCTTTAAATCATACCACAGATTTCAATTGGATTGAGGTCTGGGCTTTGACGAGGCCATTCCAAGACATTTAAATGTTTCCCCTTAAACAACTCAAGTGTTGCTTTAGCAGTATGCTTAGGGTCATTGTCCTGCTGGAAGGTGAACCTCCGTCCCAGTCTCAAAGTCTCTGGAAGACTGAAACAGGTTTCCCTCAAGAATTTACCTGTATTTAGCGGCATCCATCAATCTTTCAATTCTGACCAATTTCCCAGTCCCTGCAGATGAAAAACATCCCCACAGCATGATGCTGCCACCACCATGCTTCACTGTGGGGATGGTGTTCTCGGGGTGTTGAGAGGTGTTGGGTTTGCGCCAGACAAAGCGTTTTCCTTGATGGCCAAAAAGCTAAATTTTAGTCTCATCTGACCAGAGTACCTTCTTCCAAATTTTACATTTTAGTCATTCAGCAGACTTACAGTTAGTGAGTGTATACATTTTTCATACTGGTCACCTGTGGGAATCGAACCCACAACCCTGGCGTTGCAAGCACCATGCTCTACCAACTGAGCTACAGGAGGGCCATATGTTTGGGGAGTCTCCCACATGCCTTTTGGCAAACACCAAACGTGTTTGCTTATGTTTTTCTTTAAGCAATGGCTTTTTTTCTGGCCACTCTTCCGTAAAGCCCAGCTCTGTGGAGTGTACGGCTTAAAGTGGTCCTATGGATAAAACTCCAATCTCCGCTGTGGAGCTTTGCAGCTCCTTCAGGGTTATCTTTGGTCTCTTTGTTGCCTCTCTGATTAATGCCCTCCTTGCCTGGTCCGTGAGTTTTAGTGGGCGGCCCTCTCTTGGCCTGTTTGTTGTGGTGCCATATACTTTCCATTTCTTAATAATGGATTTAATGGTGCTCTGTGGGATGTTCAAAGTTTCAGATATTTTATATAAGCCAACCCTGATCTGTACTTCTCCACAACTTTGTCCCTGACCTGTTTGGAGAGCTCCTTGGTCTTCATGGTGCCGCTTGCTTGGTGGTGTCCCTTGCTTAGTGGTGTTGCAGACTCTGGGGCCTTTCAGAACAGGTGTATATATACTGAGATCGTGACAGATTATGTGACACTTAGATTGCACACAGGTGGACTTTATTTAACTAATTATGTGACTTCTGAAGGTAATTGGTTGCACCAGATCTTATTTAGGGGCTTCATAGAAAATATGCATGCACCACGTTTCCGTTATTTATTTTTTAGAATTTTCTGAAACAAGTAATTTTTTTCATTTCACTTCACCAATTTGGACTATTTTGTCCATTACATGAAATCCAAATACAAATCAATTTAAATTACAGGTTGTAATGCAACAATATAGGAAAAACGCCAACGGGGATGAATACTTTTGCAAGGCACTGTACGTAGCCCTTTCCACTCACAGCCCCTGCCATCCCGTATATGGGTTGAAAATTGCATATTTTGTCATTGATAAGCACCTAAATTGGAACCCAGTGGCTGTACAGTAACATGCTATACATGAAGTCAGAGTTCAGGTTCTCCGGTTCACAGCGCTTTATGGGTTTTGACTGACAGCCGTTATAAATTTGAGCAATGTGCACGACAAGATGCCCCCATCCCTCCTGCTAATTGGCGTACGTTTGCACATTTGTGGTTGTCTGAGTGAGGGAAATGGATGAGTCGGCTCTGGTCACCGTGTTCCGCAGCGGACTGCAGGAGGAGGTACAGATGGAGTTAGCCTGACGTGATGACAACCTGTCACTCGACCAGCTCATCAGCATGGCGATCCGGTTGGACAACCTCCTGCGGTCCCGACGAAGACCTGCGCGGAATCCAGAGACCATGGCTACACCTGCCAGAGCCGATGGAGGTGGACTCTGCACGTTTGCCCGAGGCAGAGCGTAGGAGAAGGAGGAATCTGGGCCTCTGCTCCTATGGTGGAGAAAGGGATCATTTCTCCCCGACCTGCCCTCTATTCCCCTGCTCCAACACAGGCAGAGGAGAGGCAAGAAGAGGAGACCCCCATCATCCCGGTGTTCCATATCGTCGCGCCAGTGGTGTGGGATGTGGACACGACATACGGCAGGCCCTGCGTACGGAACCCGCAGCTGCACAGTACTCTAGAACCGCGCCTACGTGCCCACGGGTGTGCGGGACCGCCTCATTTCCTGGGAGAACACGGCCCCTGTGTCGGGTCATCCTGGGATAGGCAGTACCATCGCCTGCCTGGTGGTACTTGTGGCCTGGTGGTACTGGTGGCCCACCTTGGCTAGGGACGTCCTGGTTTACGTCTCTTCCTGCTCCATCTGTGCCCATTCTCAGACACCCAGACGCCTCCCTTATGGAAAGCTCCTTCCCCTGCCAGTTCCACAACGACCCTGGTCTCACCTCTTGGTGGACTTTGTCACTGACCTTCCCCCCTCCCAGGGGAACACCACCGTTCTCGTCGTTGTGGACCGGTTTTTCAAAGCTTGTCGCCTCCTTCCTTTGCCTGGGCTCCCGTCAGCCATGCAAACCGCAGAGGTTCTTTTTACGCACGTCTTCCGGCACTACGGGATCCCAGAGGACATTGTGTCAGATCGTGGTCGTCAGTTCACCTCACGCATATGGAAAGCGTTCATGGAACGCCTGGGGGTCACGGTCAGTCTCACCTCCGGGTACCATCCACAAGCTAATGGGCAGGTGGAGAGGGTCAATCAGGAAGTGGGCAGGTTCCTGAGGTGTTACTGTCAGGACCGGCTTGGGGAGTGGGCGGATTCCCTACCTTGGGCTGAGTACGCGCATAATTCCTTCCGCCACTCCTCCGCTAACCTCACTCCTTTCCAGTGCGTGTTGGGGTATCAGCCGGCCCTGGCACCTTGGCATCCGAGCCAGACCGAAGCCCCTGCAGTGGACAAGTGGTTTTGGCGCGCTGAGGAGATCTGGAATGCTGCGCACAATCTTCTCCAGTGGGCCGTGCGTCGGCACAAGGAACAGACCGACCGCCACCGCAGTGAGGCGCCTGTTTTCTCTCCATGCGACCGGGTCTGGCTGTCCACCCGGAACCTGCCCCTCCGCTTGCCCTGCTGGAAGCTGAGCCCGCGGTTTGTGGGGAAGTTTAAAGTCCTGAGGAGGGTTAATGAGGTAACGTACCATTTGCAACTCCCTGCTGATTACCGCATTTACCCGACTTTTCATGTCTCTCTCCTCAGGCCAGTGGTGCCTGGTCCCCTCGCTGAGGCTGGAACCAGTGACGCCCCGCCTCCTCCTCTGGACATCGAGGGAGGTCCGGCGTACTCCGTCCGTGAAGTCCTGGATTCGAGGCGTCGGGCGGGGCTTCTCCAGTACCTCATCGACTGGGAGGGGTACGGCCCAGAGGAGCCGTGCTGGGTTCCTGCGGTGGACATCCTGGACGCTTCGGATTTTCACCATCGGCACCCTGACCGATCCGCACTACGTTCCTTTGGTCGTCCCCGAGGCCGGTGTCATCCCGCTGCTGGTGTAGCGCGTCAGGGGGCGGTACTGTCACGGATCCCCCCGGTACTGCTGCTCATTCCATTCACCAGCTCTGGAGGTCTACGTCTAGTGAGTACCATGCATTGTGCTCTTGTTATTACGGGTCTCGTCCCGTGTATTGTTTAGAGGTTTACACCTCGCTCTTTTGTTTGGGTTACATCCCTGTGTTATATACAGTGGGGAGAACAAGTATTTGATACACTGTCAATTTTGCAGGTTTTCCTACTTACAAAGCATGTAGAGGTCTGTAATTTTTATCATAGGTACACTTCAACTGTGAGAGACGGAATCTAAAACAAAAATCCAAAAAATCACATTGTATGATTTTTAAGAAATGAATTTGCATTTTATTGCATGACATAAGTAATAATAATAATATAATAATATGCCATTTAGCAGACGCTTTTATCCAAAGCGACTTACAGTCATGCGTGCATACATTTTTGTGTATGGGTGGTCCCGGGGATCGAACCCACTACCTTGGCGTTACAAGCGCCGTGCTCTACCAGCTGAGCTACAGAGGACCACTTTGATACATCAGAAAAGCAGAACTTAATATTTGGTACAGAAACCTTTGTTTGCAATTACAGAAATCATACGTTTCCTGTAGGTCTTGACCAGGTTTGCACACACTGCAGCAGGGATTTTGGCCCACTCCTCCATACAGACCTTCACAGATCCTTCAGGTTTCGGGGCTGTCGCTGGGCAATACGGACATTCAGCTCCCTCCAAAGATTTTCTATTGGGTTCAGGTCTGGAGACTGGCTAGGCCACTCCAGGACCTTGAGATGCTTCTTACGGAGCCACTCCTTAGTTGCCCTGGCTGTGTGTTTCGGGTCGTTGTCATGCTGGAAGACCCAACCACGACCCATCTTCAATGCTCTTACTAAGGGAAGGTTGTTGGCCTAGATCTCGCGAGACATGGCCCCATCCATCCTCCCCTCAATACGGTGCAGTCGTCCTGTCCGCTTTGCAGAAGAGCATTCCCAAAGAATGATGTTTCCACCTCCATGCTTCATGGTTGGGATGGTGTTCTTGGGGTTGTACTCATCCTTCTTCTTCCTCCAAACACGGCGAGTGGAGTTTAGACCAAAAGCTCTATTTTTGTCTCATCAGACCACATGACCTTCTCCCATTCCTCCTCTGGATCATCCAGATGGTCATTGGCAAACTTCAGACGGGCCTGGACATGCGCTGGCTTGAGCAGGGGGACCTTGCATGCGCTGCGGGATTTTAATCCATGATGGCGTAGTGTGTTACTAATGGTTTTCTTTGAGACTGTGGTCCCAGCTCTCTTCAGGTCATTGACAAGGTCCTGCCGTGTAGTTCTGGGCTGATCCCTCACCTTCCTCATGATCATTGATGCCCCACGAGGTGAGATCTTGCATGGAGCCCCAGACCGAGGGTGATTGACCGTCATCTTGAACTTCTTCCAATTTCTAATAATTGCGGCAACAGTTGTTGCCTTCTCACCAAGCTGCTTGCCTATTGTCCTGTAGCCCATCCCAGCCTTGTGCAGGTCTACAATTTCATCCCTGATGTCCTTACACAGCTCTCTGGTCTTGGCCATTGTGGAGAGGTTGGAGTCTGTTTGATTGAGTGTGTGGACAGGTATCTTTTATACAGGTAACAAGTTCAAACAGGTGCAGTTAATACAGGTAATGAGTGGAGAACAGGAGGGCTTCTTAAAGAAAAACTAACAGGTCTGTGAGAGCCGGAATTCTTACTGGTTGGTAGGTGATCAAATACTTATGTCATGCAATAAAATGCAAATTCATTACTTAAAAATCATACAATGTGATTTTCTGGATTTTTCACAGTTGAAGTGTACCTATGATAAAAATTACAGACCTCTACATGCTTTGTAAGTAGGAAAACCTGCAAAATCGGCAGTGTATCAAATACTTGTTCTCTCCACTGTATATATATTTATATATACGTGTTTTTTTGGGGCTTCGTCCCTGTCGTTGTTCATGACGTACCTTGTGTTGGGTGGAGAAAATAAAACCCTTATTACGTATTCCTGAGCCTGTCTTCAAATCCTTATACAACGTGACAGCGCACCAAAATTACAATCTGTTTGTCTGAAGTGCCATTTGAAAACCTAACACTGTAAGATCGTGTTCTCACCTTTAGTCTGATAATTCCCCATGTTCTCTTTCAATTGCTACCATGGTCATGGCATATGCTTTTTATAGTTCTTCTGTTAGAAACATTTCAATTTGTCCATATCCATACAGGCCAATTTCCATGAGTGTAAGCGTTAAAAACTTGTTTTTTTTTATGTTGAAAGAGGTGTTGATTATGACTGGTATCACTTTACTGATGTATTGCTTTAGTATACAGTTTCATAATGCTTTATCAGTGCATCTATAATGTGCTATGAATGTTTATTAGGCAATATAACACTTCAGAAGAAGGCGCTTCAAGTAAAGTGTTATTAATGGTTAAAAACTGTGTGCAGAAGTTGTAGTGAGAGGGTGTGGTGTAAAGACAATCTCACGTTGGCACCTTATCTAATTCAGAAAGTGCTTACGGTATGTCACATAAACTCCGACCAGCGAGGACATGTCACACACTGAGGACCATTTTACATTGTATTACATGCCTGTATTCTCACTGGGCTTATCAGATTCAGTCACAGTTCACACTCAAATGGAACCTCATCTTACCCACAGTTCTCTGGAAAAACTAACAGTTATGAAATGTGCACTGAACACCAACAAGTTGTTCTAAAACAACGTTGCTTTTGAGGCATAAACAGTTGTGAAGGAGTCTTGTTAAGTACTTAAATCTGGGTTTGGGCCAACTTCATTCCCATTCACTCAATCCAGGAAGTTAATTGAATTACGATTCATGAATGGAAAGGTACACTGCGAGAATAATGGTACGTTTCTGATTCATGAACTGAATTTCAATTAATCCCCTGAACTGAGTGAACTGAGTGAATTGACCCCAACTTAGGCTGTGGTGGTGTTACGCCTAATAATGCACTCCTGTGAAAAGGTGTGTCCTTGTATGTGGGTGTGTCTGACCTACCTCTCCCAGTGGCTGCAGACGTTGGGGTCCTCCTGGTTGAGGGAGGATGTGGAGAGGGGCATGAAGCAGCACGTCAGCACCAGCAGAATGATCCCGCAGCGCCACAGGAAGGAGGAGGCGACCATCTTGGGTTGAAGCTACACCTGGGAAAGAACAGCATATGAGAAATGAGAATCCAGTTGCTCATGAGTTGGTGTCCTGTTGTTCTTCTAGAATCTAGGATGTTGTCATAGTATTACGCTTGAATAATTGCTCAAGTAAATGCATGCGTGCTATAGTAGTGTTAGATTGATTCGTGTGTGGGCGCTTGGGTTGATGTGTGTGTGTGTGCATGTGCGTGTGCGTGTGTGTGTCTGTGTGTGGGGGGAGGGGGGGTCTGTGTGTACGTGTGTGCAAAAACAATGCATGGACATTAAAGATGCTTAGAACACAACTCTTTGCTCATTTTTAAAACCGGTACTTGACTTCAACTCTTTGTCAAAATGCCTAAGGTCACAGTATTACAGTAACGGCTCGTGTTGTGGGAACAGGATGGTGAGTCTATTCCCCCACAGAGCTCACTGTTAGCCAATCAGTACAGCGTCTGTGTAAACATGACCCAGGAGCAGGTGCATACAGATGGCCCCTCCACGGGAATGACACACTTACTTGCCCATGCAGTACCCTACAAACTGCCCTGAAAGAGTCCATTGGAGTGTTCTTCAAAGTGCACCTCTTAGGGCCCTTACTAAAAGTCTACTTTCAAGTTCCACTGTCAATGCTCCTAGAAGTTCCATGTAACCATCAAGTTCAATATCAATAGGGCTTTTTTTGTGCCCTTGATGGCACCCTACATATACTGTATGTCTTAGGGCCGGGATGATACCAGTATCACGATACTCGTTAGTATCGTCGCAAGGAAACAAAACACAAAGCAGATTTAACAGATTTAAAACAGCCCTAATATTGGAAACAAACATCATTATGTTGTCATCCAGAGTCACATGTATTTATTTATATTTTACTATAGCACACAATATTTTACATACAGCAGGTTTTTAAAGGACCAAAGAGTTTGGTCTGCTTCGTGTTTTCATTTCTGCCATGGAAATTTTTTTGTGATACTGGTAACATCACAGCCCTAATATGTATGACTCTACACACAGTATATCCCAAAGGCCCTTTAGAGAGTCCTGGATTCATAGTAGTATAGTTCAGAATCCACAATTCACAGTGGTTAAAATGCACTTCACAGTGCTCTGCCTTCACACTAATATAAAAAGACACAACCACATAAACATTCACATATGCGCTGCATAAAAATGGTTTTCAGAAATATACAGTATGTGAATAAACTTGCAGCATGAACTGACACTGCTGTACAAAAAAAAACATCTGCTTTCCATTAGTTCCCATTGGACCCGAGTGGCACAGTGGTCTAAGGCACTGCATCGCAGTGCTAGCTGTGCCACTAGAAATCTTGGTTCAAATCCAGGCTCTGTCGTAGCCGGCCGCGACCGGGAGACCCATGGGGCGGCACACAATTGGCCCAGCGTCGTCAAGGGTAGGGGAGGGAATGGCCAGCAGGGATGTAGCTCAGTTGGTAGAGCATGGTGTTTGCAATGCCAGGGTTGTGGGTTCGATTCCCACGGGGGGTATAATAAAACAAAAATAATAATAATGTATGCACTCACTAACTGTAAGTTGCTCTGGATAAGACGTAAATGTAATCAATTTGCTTTGTTAGTTTTAGTCATTTTAACAGTTTCCAGAGAATGCACTTGTAAAATAGATTTTATGAGGCCCTGAGTTGACAGGGGTGCAACTTTCACTGTAGACGGGGGGACATGATCGCCCACATTCTGAAATTGCATTTTTGTCCCCCCCCAGTTTTATAATTGCACTGTGATACAAAACGCGGCACCAGTGTGCTTTAGGACCATGTGGACGCCTCCGAGCGGTAGGGTAGGCTGTTTTCCGGTTTTAGCCGGCTGGATTTAGGACCGCAAGGACACCACAGAGCGTGCTGACAGGCTGTGTGAACGCAAAGCTTCTGAAAGGCTGGCGTATTAGACCAGCACGGGAGAGATGATCAGAGGCAGCTACTGTCTGTGTTGCACTTTTTCTAAAAGCAAGCAGAGCAGAAACTGGCTACTCTTTAGTTGACTGATCTAGCTGGCAAGGTAACTGCTGTTTGACAGAAATAAAAGTGTTTATTCCCAGTGCTGAGCTACTAGTGTAACTGACATGTTACGTTAGCCAATGTTTCATCCCCTCTCGACTGAAGTGAATGAACTACTAGCAGCTAGTTATCTAGCAAGTAGCTACGACAGCCAGTTCAGCTCTAGCTAGCCTCTAGCTATCTGTCAGTTAGCAGTATCTAACAGCTGTTGTGTGTATGGAAATGTTTTGTAGCCTTTGTTTTGTCCCGTTTCAACAGAAGTACATTTGATGATGTACCATTAGCTAGAGGTACCTGAATCAAACGATGAAACCAGCGGCCAAACGATTTAAGAACGATATATTCTGACTGTTTCTTAAGCGTAATGTGAGCTTTTATTAGTCAGTATAGCAATGTAACGTTATTGATCTGTCAGTTTCCCTAGCTAATTCCCTACTTTTTACACTGACACTTTATAAACAGCTCTACAGGCTTCAATGTCATGGAACACAGTCAATATGCTCATCATGTCTTAGCAGAATCCGATGGTGACAGGTGTCCCAGCAGGGTCAGACAGCCAGAGAAGACCAGTCGACGGAGCTCAGGTGAATTTTGCAGTATACTACAACAATCAGTGAATGGATACAAAGGGTAGGCTACAGTCTGGGATATGGGAATAATGGTCATTTCAATTATTGAACCATTGATTATATTATTGGGTAATATAATGTATAAATGTACACCAAGGTAATTCTTTGGCATGCCTCATCTGAGCAGGATCAGATGGTGACAGGGGCCTCATCAGGGTCAGGCAGCCAGGGAAGACCAGTCTGTGACGGCGCAGAGGTGAACTTTTGCAGATACAACACTTTATTCTCTCAGTGCAGCAAACACTGGACAAGCAAGAAGCTTCATAAATGTAAACTATTTTAAGGCAGTCTGACAAACCTCTAAAGTTTATTTCCAAAGCATATCAAGGGTTGATATTGGCTTTTCCCGATGACACAAAACATGTAAAACACAAATGTGAGGCAGACCTGGGAGACGCTATTGATGATGATGAATGGATACAGTTGCAACACTCACTACCAAGTTCAAAACTGCATCTGGAAGCAATGTCAGCACAAGAACTGTTCATCGGGAGCTTCATGAAATGCGTTTCCATGGCCGAGCAGCCGAACACAAGCCTAACATCACCATGTGCAATGCCAAGCGTTGGCTGGAGTGGTGTAAATCTGTCGCATAAAATGGCCCAGGTGTCTTCCTTCTTTTTGACAGTTGTATTGTCTGTCTTTTTATCCTCCAGTACGTTACTAAATTCCTCCATCAGCTCCGACAATAGGTGTTTTTCTTAAGCAGAGAAATGTGAACGTCTTTGACGTGCCATGATCAGGTGGCTAGCGGACAAATAATAAATGGCTAAATAACGTTAAGTAATGACAATAATACATTATATTTTATGCTAGCTATCTTGGTTTATAAACTAGCTAGCTACAGTAGCTAACGTTAGCTAACAAATTAGTTTTCTGTCTAGTACTGGTAAATAACAGATTTTATTTCAAATCAGCCAACCCATGAGAACCTTTCACAATAGTTCTAACGTTACATTGTTATTATTTTATCAAGGAACAGCAACTTTGTGGCCTCATTTGTCAAGTAGGCTAGCTACTTCGTTTCAACTCACGAAATACCTCATATATTGGTGTAACATGTCATTAATCATAGTTTAAAACCGTTAATCATATATATTTAAAATTAAGTGGTGCAACACATCTCTGATTAATTATAAACCTAGATTTACAAAACCTAGATTAGCTCTAATGCTAGATTAATTTAAACCATGTTGGTGAAACCCATCCTAAAGGTCTATGTATGAATTCTATGCAGTCAATGTAATGTCATTTATATTTCCCCCTTCATAAAGCATGTATAAATATTCATCACTTGTGAAAAATAATACAGACACAACACAGAATGTTACAGTAAATATGAGCATTTTATTTAACTTTTCCAGTAGCTAGCACAGAAATTGCTGAAGACTTCGGCGAAGAATCCTGCTATTGACCTTTTTCAGTTGGACTTTTCTTAAATAGATTCATTTATTATTTCTCAAAGATTCATATTCAAACCATTCATTCAATTCCCCATTTCAGACTCATAGCAATAACTATTTTATTGAGTAAAATGTACTAACACAGGGTCGTAAAGCCAGCTACCATTCCCCCATTATTCACTAGTTAGCTAGCTAGCTAGTTTAGCAACTAGCTAAGCCCCTGCCAGAATCATTGTCAACACATTCAACTCGGTCAATGAACTTGACAAAATCGTCATAAAACTCATTAAACATTTAGTTAACAATGGTATCTCACTATTTTAAGACTTGCATTGTACTTGTGCACATTATGAACCTTTAACAACAGGACAAATTAAGAGACAGAAACATCATAATGTCATTTTTGGGCTTGTCACTATCTGGGCAAGCGGCAAAGCCGTAAACCCTGCCTATTTGTACTATTTCTCTTTGAGTGAGAGGTGAGAGGAAACGTCACTTCCTGGTGACCTCTCGTTTCTAAAAAGAATAGTAAAAAAAATGAATAAAATATTTAGTTAACCTTATTGTTCACTATTTCATGTCTGACATTGGACATTGTACGTTTGCATATTTAAAATAAGAAAAATAGCTAAGAAGCCAGAAGAACGCTGGGCTGTCACCAGGAAGTGATGACATCACACTGAACTCTCACCTCTCCTCTGCAGTCAAAACGACAGCAACTGATTTATCCCTTAGTTTGTCCTGTTTAAATGGTTCGTAATGTGCAACTGTACAATGGAAATGAAATATCATAGGTAATTAAATGTTTAATGGGTTTTATGACGATGTTGTACATTTATTGACCGAGTTGGAAAACGTGTTGGCTTATGGGCCTTAGCTAGCTGCAATTCATAAGTGAATAAGGGGGGAATTCTAGCTAGCTTTACCACCAT